CGTGCCGGAGCATCTCCCCCCGCGCACCTCGATACCCGGTTCCCCTTCCATAACCCCTAATTCCAGTGTGCGACGCGTGCAAGGATGGACCCCTTGCGGGCTCGCTCGTCGGCGGGTGGCAGGACCGCACCATGATGGCCAACGTCTTGGCGGCCAACCGCGCCGCCCTGTAGGAAACTGGGCACTGCAGTGGCCGCTAGTGCTGTCTCCGGTGCCCAACCACCCTGACCGTCCATCACGCGCAGGGGCGCTGGCTACGAGTGCTCGCGCGCCGCGGCCTGGCGGGCAGTCGTGGCCCAGATCACCAGGGGTCGGCGCTGCCCCACAGATGAGTGGACCTCTGCCGAGCCCGTCTCCGTGGCCAGAGGCCCCCCCGCCTGACCCCCTGCCCCCCCCCCGGGACCATCCACCTCGAGGATGATTCCGTGGATGCCACCGAGGCAGAGGGCCCCGCGACCCAAGGCGTCACCCAGCCCTTCCACCTGACCCACGGCTCGCGGTTCGGCTCCGCGCACACGGCCAAGCGAGACGCTTGCACGCGGACGGCAGACAAGCGGCGCCACGGCGACCCCCCATAGGGAGATCCAGTCTTCCGCTGCCCGACCGAACAAGGGTTCCAGCTCGAGCACGGGCTCCCCTGTTACGACGACGGCCGGGCGGCCTTCACCTCCCGGGCCTGGAACGCACAGTTCCAGTGCAAGTGGTGCCTTTGTGTATCGTGGGGTGTCCCTCCAGAGGAGTGCGACGGCATCCTACTGGAGGTCTCTTCCATTCTTCTGTCCCTGGCGGCGCAGGCTGCTGCAGCCGCAGTGGCGCAGCGCGCGAGCGGCAGCGGTGCAGCAGTCGCCGCTCCTGACGGCCAGGGGGACGCCGCCAGGGGCAGCGCTGGGGTCCCGGAGGGAGGTGAGCCCCTCGCCCCCCCTCCCTCAGCCCGTGGCGCTGACCCCCAGGACCCCTCCTCTGGCGACCCGGCCGTGCGCGGGCCCAAAAGAATCCGACAAGATGGGTTCCCCCCCTCAGGATACCCTCGTTTCCCCCTACCTAATGATTCAAGCTATGTCACCGAGGACCCCGCCCCTGTCGCCACGGCCAGACTCACCTCGACATGATGATCCAAGGCCTTCAGCTGTTAGACGCGCTCGAGAATCCGAACTTGATGTCCACATCCTTGGTGAGGTTCCGCGGGAATCCCGTGGAGGTGCGCAGACTGGTCATTCGGCAGCTCTCGCGCTTGCCGCGGCCAAGGTCACCGAAAAGATAGCGGCCGCTTCGCCGCAGAGAGCGACGCCGCCGCCGAGCCTGGCGCCGACGCCCACGGGCACTACATCTGGGGCCAAGAGGCCGATCACGAGAAGCCCAGCTGCCACGGATACTACCACGGGGCCAGCGCTACCACCAACCTCGATTCTTGCGGTGGCAGCGCCCCGGGCCCACAACGCGATCCGAATCTCTATCGGGGAAACGTAAGACTCGAGTAAGCCGGAACTCGGGTTTGCCAACGTTTTTGACGACCGCGTCCTGGATTTTGACGGTCCAGTTTTCGTGGGATGTTTGCAGCGGGAACCCGCGTCAAATTTTGGATTGGGTCTCGTCATTTTTATGATGGCCCCGGTGGGCCCAACCCGAGTCCCCCGTACCCGAGTCTTACGTCTCCCCGCCTCTAGCCCTGGCGATTGAGACTTCTCCGGGGTCCAGGCCACCTTCTCGCTGTTCGGGCCCATGCAGGCCCCAGGTCGAGGGCGGAGCAGCGACGGGCCAGCAGCTGGAAAAGGAATCGGCAACCACAGCGCGCAGAAGACAACTCGCGACAGAACCCTCGCGGGGGCCAGCCCTGCGAGGTGCAGAAATCACTGGCGCGAGCGCCGCGCCCACAACCGCGACGACACCCACGCCGACGACGCCCGCCCAGAACCGCGATCTCTCCATGCCGTCGTCGCCCCCGATCGGGGGTGGGCGCGCTGCCCTCCCCCGGGTGGGAGGGGCCAGCGGCCCTCGGAGCTGGGCCCCGCGCTGCCGGCGGCCCGCGGCTGCAGCCCCCCCCCCGTCCCCCCCCCCCGCCCTCGGGGGGGCAGCGAGGCCCCCCGCCCGTGGGCCCAACGCTCCCCGAGAACGCCAGGATGGAAGGAGGGCGGATCTGCGAGAGGAGGCGGAGGGACCCCCCCCCGCAGGAGGCGGCCCGTTTTCGGAGTGGCCCCCGCCCGCGGCGCCACACAGCACCGGCGGGCAGGGGCCAGTAGCAGCGCCCGACGGACACGCTTGCCGTCAGCCTGGAGCCTGGAGGAGAGGGGGAGGAGGAGGAGGAGGAGGAGGAGGAGGAAGGAGGAGGGAGGAGGAGGAGAGGAGGAGGAGGAGGAGGAGGAGGAGGAGGAGGGAGGAGGAGGAGGAGAGGAGGAGGAGGGAGGAGGAGGAGAGGAGGAGGAGGGAGGAGGAGGAGGAGGAGGAGAGGAGGAGGAGGAGGAGGGGGAGGGGGAGGAGGAGGAGGAGGAGGAGGAGGAGGAGGAGGAGGAGGAGGAGGAGGAGGAGGAGGAGGAGGAGGAGGAGGAGGAGGGGGAGGAAGCCGACCAAAAACAAAAATCAGGACGCTTCATCGCATCGATGCCGCAATGCGCCCTCCCATCGGAAGCTCCTCCTTCACGGTCCCGGTCAGCACTTCTGTGCACTGTGGTGGGGCGTCCCTGTGAGAGAGGAACGCCCAGCGGGCCTGCCACTCCGGCGAGAGCTTGTTGATTCTCGAGCGGCTTGCCTGCACAGTCAACCCGCATCGTAAGGATGGGCAACCTTCCCAAGGGTATCCTTGCATCCTTGCCGACGCATCACCACTGCATCGCCGATGCAGCGGCGATGCAGCGGCGGTGCGGCGCGATCCTCCGACGTCATCTACAGTCAACCCGCATGGGGTAAGGATGGGCAGCCTTCCGAATGGGTACCCTGGCATCCTTGCCTCCTCGGCCCACCCTTGGCCACATTCGTGGGCCGCGCCCCGCTCGACAGGCTTCGACACGGCCTGCCGAGGCTCTTTGCATCGTTGCCGCGCATCCTTAGGATACGGGTGGACCCTGAGGGTTCTGCACACGGCTCGCAAGAAGGGCCTAAGGGGGGGGGGGGGGGGCGTTGCCCGCCCCAGAGTTGGTGACTTGATGTTCCCCGACGGGTGGCCCGCACGGCTCCGAAGGAGGAGCGCCAGTGGCCCAAGACACGATGAGTGAACTCTTTCCCGCAGGGTTTCCCCTCCCCCTCTTCCTCCTTCTCCTCCTCCTCCTCCTCCTCCTCCTCCTCCTCCCCCTCCTCCTCCTCCTCCCCCTCCTCCTCCTCCCCCTCCTCCTCCTCCTCCTCCTCCTCCTCCTCCTCCTCCTCATCCTCCTCCTCCTCCTCCTCCCCCCCCTCCTCCTCCCTTGCCGTTCTCCCCCCCTCCTGCACACGCCGGACAATTTCGCCGTTCGGTTGCCCCGCATAGCCCCGCGCTGGATGCGGGCTGCCTCTGCCTCGCCGCCGACGGAGAAAGTTCCCCGGCTGGTATCCCGCATGGCTCCTGCGGAGGGGCGTTGCTGGCCCATGGATCGACGATTGGATTGTCTAAAGGTTGCCGCCTCTGCCGCCGACCCCCCTCGAGCGTGGGATGGGGGCGGGGCGCCGGGGCGTGGTGGGGGCGCGGTGGGGGGCGCTGGTCGGTGTTGGGCCGGGAAATTGTCGCGTGGGGGGTCCCAAGAACAGAGCTCGCGCGGGGTGGGGATGCCGAGGCGTGGTGGGGGCGCGGTGGCGGGCGTTGGTCGGTTTTGTGGAATCTTGTGCCACGTACACAAAGGATTCCGCACACGCCTCTGGGGTCGGCGGATTTCCCGCACGGTCTTTTGCGTGGTGTTTCGCACGGTCTTCCCGTCTGGTGCTTTGTCTGGTTTCTGGCATTGCCTCCCGTCTTACCTTCCGCCCGATCGGCCTTGCGGTGTCCCATATTCTTTTTGGTTGGTCTCCCGCAAGTGCAATAGAACGTTCGATTCACGATTCAAGTATGGTGCTCAAGGCCCTTGGTCGCCAGGGTGTCATTCGGATGCGAGCCGATTTCCGTCATTTCTAGTGGTTCGGGGTGTCGGGACAGAGCGTTCTCAACACTCAGGCAAGTGTCGAGCGAAAGCAACATGCTGAAGGGGAAGCACCGTCCGTCCGTACAGCCGTTCCGCATCCAGGCTCCAGCCCATCTGCACTCCGAGAGAGGTGCCCGCGGGGGAGCCGCCCACCGTCCGTGAAAAATGGCTCGAATGTTCAAAGGGACTGAGCACAGCGCAGAGGCGAGATCTGCATGTTGCCGACGGTCTGGGCTCCAGTCCTTACGTTGCATCTTCGGGGGACCTCACCTGTACCCAAAATTGGTTCCTTTTCTTGTGCCCGACGCGGGCTCGATGCGGACTCGACGCGGATTGGGCGTGGCTTCGACACGGATTCGAGACGGACTCGACGCGGATGGGGCCGCGACGGGACAGGCAAGGTCCCCCGAGGATGCAACAGAACTCCAGTCGTGCAGTTGATTCAGAGTTTTACGGCGAGAGTGCAAGGGCAGTGCAGCGCCGGCCGCACTCTCAAAACACGCCCACTCCCCATGTGTGCAAGTGCCGGAGATGTCAGGCTCCGGGCTCACGAGAGGCGAAGAAGTCTCCGGCGGGCGGCCTGGCCCGCCGTGCCGCCACTTCTTGTGGTGCGACGGGGAGCCGCTCTCGGAGAGCGGAGGAGAGAGGAGGAGAGGGAGGCAAGATTGAGGAGGAGCAAGGGGAGAGAGTGAGAGGCGGAGGAGGAGGAAGAGGAGGAGAAGGAGGAGGAGCGGGAGGCGTTCGAGGAGCAGGAGGGGGAGGAGCAGGAGGAGGAGGAGGAGGAGGAGCAGAGGGATCAGCATAGCAGAGAAAGCAGGAGCTGAGAGAGCAGCAGCAGTAGCAGAGGCAGGCGCAGCGGCGGCCGCACGAGGGAGGGCAGCCGCGACGAGCAGCCAGGGGCAGCCGCGCCCCCTTGCACAGGTGCGCCAGGAGCGGGAAGCGGGCGAGAGGCTCGCCCAGGAGCCCCGGCGACGACCCCGGCGACGACCGGCGACGACGACCCCGCGGCGCCCGCGCTCTTCCGCTCCCGCCCTCCCCCGATAGGAAAACAAAAACAACAAAAAAAACAGAAGAGGCTCGCCCAGGAGCCCTGGCGACGACCCTGGCGACGACCCGCGACGACGACCCCGCGGCGCCCTCGCTCTTCCGCTCCCGCCCTCCCCCGCCGACAGAAAAAGTACAGAACCCAAAACACGTGAGAACATGAGTGGTTGGCGGCCGCTCGTTGCTTATGTCGTGGGGGCCCCGCAGAAAGGACGCGGAGGAGGAGGAGGAGGAGGAGGAGGAGGAGGAGGAGGAAGAGGAGGAGGAGGAGGAGGAGGAGGAGGACGACGACGACGACAACGAGGGGAGGGGGAGGATGTGGGGACGAGGAGGCCCCCCTGCAACATTCGATCCCCTTCATCTTCCTCCTGCCCCTCCTCGGGTCATCCTTCCTCCCCGTCGCGTCTCTATGCTCCGATGGGCTCTTGAGAGGGCTACCCGGGCCGCTTCGGGACGGCATTGAGTTCCTGTTGGGGCGCGCTTGGGCGCTTGGGCCGTTTGGGGACCGTTTGGGGCCTGCTTCGGCCGTCCAAGGAATCTGCTGCGGCCGTCTTGGGGCGCCCGCGGGCGACTCGACCCACCCCATCCATCAGAAGATCTACTACACGCCAGTCGTTGAAAGTAGGTGTTTCTGGATTTCCAGATCCCAATCTACTTCCAGCGCCTCCCTACTTCCAGAATCGATACTGCTTTGCTGCGTCTTCATATTCTCTGGGAGGGCCTGAGCCCACTCTACTCTCTGCAGTTAGCTCATACTGTAGAAGTGCTGCAGGGCTGGTAATGACAGGAGTCGATTCGCAGACATCAGACGCGTCTGCCTCTCGCATTCAGATAAAATGTTCACTATGAGTCGGAATTTGGTAGCTGCTGTCCGTTTTCTCAACTTAAGTCGAGCTAGGAAGCTCTACGAGTCTCACGGCGGTAACCAAGGTTGACGGTTCACCGCCGCGCCCAGTTGCTGGAAGCTTAAGAGTCATTCCGGCGCGCTGGAGAGCTAGTTGGCAAGAAAAATCTCGACGGACCTTTTGCTGACTTTTGGTCGGTTGAAAATTTTGTTCTCGAAATTCAACCATTCGTTAGAGCTCTAATATTTTTTCTGACCATATTCGATCTTATTCCCGCTCGCCATCTTAATCTCAGCTCGGTCGGGTAAATATTTCTGCAAAAAAGCGTCGCGGCGGGATCGGCTGTTTCGAGTCACCTTGGTACGCGTTGTCGGTATTTTGTACTTATCTCGAGCTGTAGAGCAGCTACAGAGCTGATTCTCACAGAAATCGATTGCGAATCATTAGCCGCGTTTGTCTGTTCCATCTAGAGGTCTGAACTCCGTCTGCTGCCCGAGCTAGGTTCGCAAAACTATTCGTATTATTCGAGTCATCTTGAGAGGTGCTGTCAGTTTTCTGCACTTAACTCGGGCTGTAGGGGGGCTACAGGGCTCGTACTCACAGCAATCGATTCGGAGACATCAGGCGCGTCCGCCTGTTAAATCGAGAGCTCAGAACTCGGTGTGCTGCCCGAGCTAGGTCCACAAACTATTTGTATTGTTCGAGTCATCTTCAGAGGTGCTGTCGGTTTTCTGCACTTCACTCGAGCTGTACGGGGGCTGCAGGGCTGGTAATCGCAGGGTTCGATTTCGAGACATCAGGCGCGTCCGCCTGTTGCATTCAGAGGTCTGAACTCGGTCTGATACTCGAGCTAGATTCGCGAATCTATTTGTATTGTTCGAGTGCTCTTGAGAGGTGCTGTCGATTTTCGCACGTGACTCGGGCTGTGGGAGAGCTACGGAGCTCGTGCGCACAGAAAACGATCCAGAAGCGTGAGGGGCGTTCGGCTGTTGCATCGAGAGGTCTGAAATCGTTTGGGCTGAAAAACTATTCGTTCTCTGCAATTTTTTCGACATTATATATGCTCAGGAAGCTCTACGAGTCCCCCGGCGGTAAGACAGGTTGACGGTTCACCGCCGGCGCCCAGTTGCTGCGAGGATCGTGGAGCGGCGGAGATGGGCTGCGGGCAGGGCACCACCACTGTCGGGCTTCTAATCTGAAGCCCTCTAGCTCTCAGAGAGCTCTCCGGGGAAAACCCGGAGAGCGAAGAGACCCTTGGGGGCGGGAATTCTTTCCTGGAGAGCTCTGGGTGGCTCCCCTGAAGCGCTTCGAAAGCGCTGCCAGGCACGCCTCCATACGTGCCTGCACGCGTGCAGGCGCGCGTGGATGCGTGCCGGAAGCGCCCCCGAACCCGCTGCCTGCCAACCAGCTCCACCCGAATTCGTGTTAGCTCGTCTTGCCGAAGAGCTTTACGAGGTACTGGTTCAGGGAAACTCTTCGAGTTATATCTTTCACCCTGGAGAGCGAAGAGACCCTCCGAGACGCGATATATTTTCTGGAGAGCTCTGGCGGGCCCTCCTGAAGCGCTTCGAAGGCGCTGCCAGGTACGCCTCCATGCGTGCCGGCACGCGTGCAGGCACGCCTGAAACGCTTCGACAGCGCTGCCAGGCACGCCTCCATGCGCGCCTGCACGCGTGCAGGCACGCGTGGACGAGTGCCGGAAGCGCTCCAGGACCAGCTGCCGGCACGGGCAAACCCCTGCGAGTATCGTGGACAGGCGGAGATGGGCTGCTGGCGGGCACCACCACCGTCCAGCTTCTAATATAAAGCCCTCTAGCTCTCAGAGAGCCCCCCGGGGAAATCTTAAGAAAACCGACCCGAAGATGTCACATTGTCTCTTCTCGTCGGGTCGACCAACTAGCTCCCGCCCGCGCCGGAATTCCTCTTAGCTCATCGATGCCGAAGAGCTCTACAAGGTAAGACAACAGAAACCGGAAAGCTTTCCTGGCGAGCCCTCGGACGCTCTCGTGAAGCGCTTCTGGGGGGGCTCTGGGGAGCTCCCCTGCAGCGCTTCCGAAATGCTACCAGGAACGCTCCCACGCGTGCCTGCGCGCGTGCAGCCACGCGGAGACGCTCGCCGGAAGCTCCCCCGGACCCGCTGCCGGGTCGGGCGAGTCGCTGCGAGGATCCTGGACCGGCAGAGATGGGCTGCTGGCGGACACCACCATCGCCCGGCTTCGAATCTACAACCTTGTAGCTCTCAGAGAGCTCTCTGGGGACATTGTCTCTTCTCTTCGGGTCGACCAACTAGCTCCACCCCGCGCCGGAATTCCTCTAGCTCATCGTTGCCGATGAGCTCTACGAGGTAAGCTTCTTATCTAAAACCTTGTAGCTCTCAGAGAGCTCTCCGGGAACTAGCTCTACCCCGCGCCGAAATGCTTTATACAGCTCCGATGGTAGAAGAGCTAGAGGAATTCGGCGACAGGGTGGAACTGGGAACCGGCGGTAAACCGTCAAGCAGGTCACCGCCGGGGCCCTCGTAGAGCTCTTTTCTCGCACGGCTCTCCTCGGTAAACATGGGCCTGAAAAAATTTACTGGCAGACGCGCCATAGCCCACTACAGGTGCGAAAAATCTGTTTTCTCAAAATCAATTCTCAAATGTCTTTAGAATCTTGGCAAAACCGACCCAAAGTCACCACATTGTCCGTTCTGGTCGGGTCGGCCAAGCTCCAGCCTGCGCCGGAATTCCTCTAGCTCATCGATACCGAAGAGCTCTACGTGCTAGTTGGCGAAATGTCGAAAAAGAGACGCGATGATACCTTCCGCGGCCTGGATCAGCCGATTTTTCCCCGAGAGCTCTCTGGGAGCTAGATGGTTTTAGATTGGAAGCAGGGCAGTGGTGGTGCCGGCCAGCAGCCCATCTCCGCCGGTCCAGGATCCTCGCAGCGGCCTGTAAAACCTCGCAGCCCGTCCCGGGGCGCTTCGAGCACGCGTCCACGTGTGCCTGCACGGCGCAGGCACGCGTGGAAGCGTTCCTGGCCGCACATCAGAAGCGCTGCAGGGTAGTCTCCGGAGCCCGAGAAGGGCTTCACGAGAGCGTCCGAGGGCTCGGGGCCTGGACAGGCTGCCGCTGCGGCGCCATTGCACTCGTTTTTCGCAAACAATCATACACTTCGTGCTCTTCCAGAACTCGAGCCACATTTGGGATGCCCGGAGCTAACTGAAGGTTTCTTCGTGCTGTTCGACTTCCCAGAATTCCATTCCCGGACAGCATTTCCCCCGGAGAGCTCCTGATAGCTAAAGGGTTTTCGATTAGAAGCCGGACGATGGTGGTGCCCGCCAGCAGCCCATCGTCTCCGGTCCACGATCCCCGCAGCGCCTTGTAAAACCTCGCAGCGGGTCCGGGAGAGCTTCCGGCAAGCATTTACGCGTGCCTGCACGCGTGCAAGCACGCGTGGAAGCGTTCATGGCAGCACTTTGGAAGCGCTGCCGGGGGGCCCCCAAGAGTCCCAGAAGAGCTTCACGCGAGCTTCCGTGGGCTTGCCAGGAAAGCTTTCAGGTGTGCGTTCTCTTTGCTATCCGGGTTTTGCACGCTACCAAGTGGATGGGAGCCAACTGTGCCTCGTAGAGCTCTTCGGCAAGATGAGCTAAGAGGAATTCGGGCGCAGGTTGGAGCTAGTTCCCGGGGAGCTCTCTGAGAGCTAGAGGGTTTATATTAGAAGCCGAACGCTGGTGGTGCCCGTCAGCAGCCCATCTTTGCCGGTCCACGATCCTCGCAGCAGCTCCCCCGTCCCGGCAGCGGGTCCGGGAAAGCTTCCGACAAGCGTCTACGCGTGCCGGCACGGGTGCAGGCACGCGTGGAAACGATCCTGGCAGCTCTTTAGAAGGGCTGCAGGGGCGCCTCAAGCCCCAGAAGAGCTTTCCGAGATCTTTTGTTCCCGGGGAGCTCGCTGAGAGCTAAAGGGTTTAAGATTAGAAGCTGGACGGTGGTGCTGCCTGCCAGGAGCTCCTCCACGTTGTTCCACAGGCCTCGCAGCGGCTCCAGCGGCCCGGCAACTGGTCCGGGAGAGCTTCCGACAAGCCTCCACGCGTGCCTGCACGCGTGCAGGCACGCATCGGAGCGTTTCTGCCAGCGCTTCGGCAGCGCTGCAGGGGAGCCACCCAGAGCTCTCCAG